TCGCATCGCATCGCATCGCCTCGCATCGCCTCGCATCGCATCGCATCGCATCGCATCGCATCGCATCGCGCCACGCCGCGCCGCGCCGCGCCTCGTTTCGCGTCAGATAAAACGAGGTGTCGGCGCCCACGCCGTATCACGCCATGTACACATCCTTCGCGAGCGTTACAAACTTTTGAACGGACGACGCGACGTCGTGAAAAAACTCGCGCCATCGGTTGCACTCAGCAGAAAAATCAACTTTGCAATTGTTGTAAAATTCTTTAATATGATTGGCGTTGCCCTTAGTTCCTCACTGAATCTAAAGACTAAATGTATAAATCAATTATATTGAAGAATCTTACAACAGTTGCAAAGCTACTTTTTCTGCTAAACACAGTCATTGTCTACATTGTATATACGACATCTTCGATAACAAAATCTATTTGGAAATTTTTTTCGAAGACGCTATTATAGCTAAGGGAGCTTATACTCTGTCGACGTTATCTAAAAGTAGTACAACATCAATATTATAATTTTGCACTTGACACAATATAAATGTAATACAACAGCTTAAACAGAATAACACAAATCACGTAACGTCATAATGACGTGATAATGAATCGTACATGATTGAAAAGTGACTTTTAATAGCACACGATGATTTGTATTTTGATTGAAAATCACATTCTGTTAAATTATAACAATGATTATGTTACTTCCATATAGTTATCGATTGAATATTTTTTAATAAGAGGAATCTGCGATGAAATCTTTTTGACGAATACGAATAGACTCGGCAGAAATCACGTTTGTAAAAAGAGTATTTGTATAAGTTCCGAGAAGTAGCTTTCCTCATACCTGTTTTCAATTATTTCTCAAAACAATTATTTTCAATATTTCATATTTCGATAAAATCATTTTCCGTGGCAAATTTCACAAATTTTAGAAAATTTCGCTTCGCTTTCTCGTGTTCTACTTATAAATAGTTCATAAAGATGTTTTGAAGTTGTAGAGAGTGTAAGATATATATTATCTGAAGAATAAATGTGATAATCTCTAAATAACTCTAAAGCTATGGCACACAAAAAAGTTTAAACAATAAAACATATAAGTAGTAACTGGATCAACATTTTGAATTTGCCTTACGTTCTCTATTGTGATTGGCCGATTTGTTTACTGCATACGTCTTATTGCTTAAATTTTTTGTGTACCAGCTTTATATAATATAGCCGTACGTTTCCTAAACTTTGCTTGTTATCTGCTTTTTTCTTTAATGTTTGAATATATATTATGTGTTTATTATTTTTCTCTAACGCATTGAAGAAATGGAAAATATTATCTCTATATGTATAGATATTATTTATATATATATACTTTCAAGTGAATAGATTTTTCTATTTCTAGAAAGTTTATAAAAGTTAACAAATGTACGTTCGCTTTAGACGCGCTTTCTGTATTTTGCGCTTCTCTCTTTTCCTTTTCGAATACAATATTTATACATTAAACACAGTTAGGCTAGATAGTTTTCCAGTAAGAGATGACACAGGGTAACACAGTGAATCTTTGTTGTTTATCACTATTGAAACAAAGATGATTGAAACAAAATATTTCTTATAGAGAATACCTGCAATGGACGCATATATGTATGTATATGTACAGCACTTTTGTATTTGAAATTTTTTATTGTCCTCGAAATTGTGTGAAGAAAACAACGACTATAGAAACAAGAAAATTTCAACACGATCGCTTTCTTGCTAATGGTATTACAACTTATTGGACCCTATACATATACATACTTGTCATATTCTTTAGTGCGGAAAGTAACTAAAGAAGTAAAGAATTCTGTAACACCTACCGAGATCTCGCGGTAGTTTGATTGAGCGACGTGCGATAGCGCGAGGTGTCACGCAAACGATAGCAAAGCAAAGAGCAAAGAGTCGCGCGCTGCATGCGCTGCGTGCGCCGTGCGCGCCGCAGCCCCGTAACCGTAATTCCTGTAATTTACGGAGGGACGTGACGACGACAATGCCGTCGTGTCGTGCCTGACGCGACGATGAAATAACGCTTTTTCCTGAGCGTACGAGGTGGGAACAGTTGAATCGACCGACGGAAAGTTATGCGCAGCATTATTGTGATGTGTCCGTGTAGTATTATCAACAGTCAAGTACTCGTTCTACTCTGCAGATGTTTTTCGGTGAGTTGCTTCGCGCTCCTGTCTTCCCTCTCCCTCTGTCTCGGCACTCTCGCCTCTCGCCTCTGCCTCTATAACCCAACCCCTCCTCTCGACCGCATGCCATCGCTCGAAACGGCGAATCGCGAGCCACCGCGAGCGCGACTCGCTTACGAACGAAAGTACATTTTTCGTACGACTGTCTGGAAAGGTTTTCCAACAACGTTTTCGTCGTCAACGATCGATAGCTCGCCAACGCCAAAGCGAATTCCATCTCGGTCTTCTCTCCTTGCTCTAAGCTCCTCTATATATCGTTATCTGTCCCTCTCAGAACCTGCTATTACAATCCCGACATTCCTGACCATTCCTGACCATTCCTGACGTGTAGAACGAATTAGCGCAGCCTGATAAAAAGTTCGTTCCTGTCTCTTCGCCCACACATGAACACGCCTTTCCGTTTCGGGCCGCCGGCGGAGCAGAGCTTGAGCAGAGCAGAGCGCGGAGGAAAGCAGTCCGTTCCTTTCGTTTTGCACTTTCTGCACCTTGAAAAGTGCCAAGTCGAATGTCGATCTCGACGACTTGAATATATGCGCGTTCCGTTAGGTATGTTTCAGCTGCACTTCTTACACTCTCCTTTCTACATTCAAAATAAATTTTTCAATAAGGCAGTTTTAAATATATAATTTTTGAATAAGTTTCCTCGGTTTGTATTTCCCTTTCATTTCTTTCCCTTTCCTCTTCTCCTTTTTGTAACCTGATTCTACGTCCATTTCATTTTGAATACCGGTACCAAAAGCGATCAGGAATGCAATTTAAATATGCAGACCAAATTAAAAGGATAGATATTTATATCTGCAAGCGATACGTGTTTCATTAATTCAAATATAGACCGGATTAAATAAAATAATAAATGTACAGAGATCAGGAAGCGATTATGTAACTTTTTTCTTAAAAGGCAAAAACATTAAGTATAAAAATATTTACCATCGTCGAAGATGAAATTTTTCTTTTTTCATGTTTCCGTCCTAAAGAAAAAGTTATATGACTGCTACCCATTCATGATTATTTTTCGAAATAATTCTATATAAAAAAATATATATATAAATATATTTATACATATAAAGATCCGTATAGGTATACTTTTCAGTTAGTGACACAAGTCGACACAAACATCATTTTATCTTTCTGGCATTCAGTAAGTAACAAAGGTAAAACGACACTTTTGTACCTTTGTTACTCACTGAATGCCAAGAAAGATAAAAATGATGTTTATGTCGACTTATGTCACCAAAATGGAAAGCAGCCAATGTTATCAACGCGCGAGTTTTTAAATCAAGCTGTCGTTTTTACTGAAATACTTTTTTCGATCTTATACCGGTGGAAACAAACGGAGGGAAATGCGAGAGATACGAATACGAGACGATCTATTTTGAATGCAGAAAGTGCAGGTAAAACGAGCAAATACCACGCACCGAGGATTACACCCTGTGCTGGTGATGGTGGTGGTGGTGGTGGTGGCGGTAGCGGTAGTCGATGATGTTCGCGCACGCAGATAGGTTAGGGCAAGTGTTGGCCGCTGCTGCCTCGTCTCTGTTTATCCGCGTTGCCGAAGAATCAAAGTCGCGTCTCGCCTGCAGGTCATCTCCAGTTCCAGTGCACGTCCGACCGCGATGAGAGATTCGTAGCGGAGGTTAGACGCCGAGGTAACCGTCGATCGATTCCGCGCGATCGAGAGCGGTAATGCACAGATAAGACGTGGGATTTAAACGTGGGCTTTAAACGATTTCCACGTCTCGATTTCCGCCAAGCTTCACACGAATACGCGATACGGCGAGCGCTTCGCTCTTTATTCCTCTCTATACTGCTCTATACGCGACAGACCGATCGGTTACCGTTGCTTTTTACGCGTCCGCGAGATCTTAACTTAATATCGTGCCAAAACTTGCTGTATGTGAATGCGTTTTGTTACATTGTATCCATTATTATGATAATGACAGAAGATATCCGAGATCCGCGGTGACAGAATGATGCAATGTTGTTAGATAAGTTTAAAATTTCAGGCAAACCGTTAATTATACATTGTGCACTTTGTGAAGTACAGGTGCCGGGTGCGTAGAACACAGTTGGTAAAATGGGCAAATTGTTGTCAAAGATCTTTGGCAACAAGGAGATGCGTATCCTCATGTTAGGACTGGATGCAGCAGGAAAAACTAGTATCCTTTGTAACACTAATCACGAGTCTTACATTTTGCAATCATATCATTTATTATTCCTATATTTTTGATTTCTTTTTTTTCTATTGTTAAGCAAGACGTTACATAATTTGGCTGTACCGTTTTCTAATTGAACCAATTATATATTATATAATATATGGGGTAATATGTACAGAAAATATTTTTCAATTCGTCTTTTGTATAAATTTATTTCCTTAATGGAATTATATCAGCAATATTGTATAAACTTAAATTAGGACAGTCTGTGACAACTATACCAACTGTAGGATTCAATGTAGAAACAGTTACCTATAAGAATGTTAAATTTAATGTATGGGTAAGTATGAAATGAAGCTTTTTCTGTAAAAGTGTAAATTATTTACTCTTAATTAATTGAAATATTTCTGTTATTTTTAGGATGTAGGTGGTCAAGATAAAATACGTCCGTTATGGCGTCATTACTATACAGGAACGCAAGGACTTATTTTTGTAGTAGACTGTGCGGATCGAGATAGAATCGACGAAGCCCGTCAAGAACTTCATCGAATCATTAATGATAGGGAAATGCGTGATGCGATTATTTTAATCTTTGCTAATAAACAAGATCTTCCGGATGGTAAGTCATATTTATATTACAATATTTGTTAGCAGTTATGAATATAAATAGTAAAGTAGATGATGCATTGTATACGTGTGCTACAGGTATCTTTATATAGTTTAGCACAACATACGAATTTTCGCCCGTACTTTGTTTTTTCTTTAGCAATGAAACCGCACGAAATACAAGAGAAACTGGGATTAACTAGGATACGAGATAGAAATTGGTACGTTCAGCCATCTTGTGCCACAACGGGAGACGGGCTTTATGAAGGCCTTACGTGGTTAACCAGTAATCATAAATTATGAGCAAATATTTATTTTTCACAAATTAGTTATATATACAGAGAATATACGTTTGCTTTGTATTTTTTATTTTAATTTATCATATGGAGGCTCCATCAAGACGAACAACAACTGACAATGATATACTTGACAACATCTTTTTTACTAGTACAGTTATCACAGATGCAAAAGGAAAAAAAAGGAAATAATATAAAGATGACTATTAATGGTGTGTTCCAATAATATCGCTCCTAGGGTAATAGTAATTTATTGTAAACGAGGTATCAAGGGTTTACGCGTGACCTTTGTTATACTAGCTATTTATCCCATGTCATGGAAATAATTACCGAATAAAGTTGTGCTAGCGGGTTTAATACCGCTCTCTGTACATGTAACATATTCACACAAGTGTACTATTTCATGAGACACACAAATTGTACAAGTTAAAAAAAAATTACGAGAATCTAGTTATGATATTAAGAGGTTCACAGATTCACAAGGATTAGTATACTGTATAACTTACCTTTGCAGGATCATATCTAATATCTAACTGTTATTTGAGCGGCAAGTACCTCAAGTTTTTAATGAAACGCAGCTAGAGATTTTTAACTTCGTAATATATCTTGTTGTCAAAATGCTATCTAACGTGTATTATATAATATTCATACATATAGCCCGTGAGTATAATACGCGAATAAATTAAAAATACCTATATTGAGGCTTTATATAGTACAGCAAGATTATTCTGTTGGTAAACATCCTTGTTGTTTAGAGTTTTGTACCGAAAAATTGCTTTTCATTTATTTTCTTTTTGTGATGTCTTCCAAACTTGTGTATGTTTTTAAATTAGTTTTCATCCCTTTCATATTGTTTACCGATTGTTATTATGATTACGCACAAATCGCGGAATAAGAAATAATGCAATAAGGAGTTATCGGTTTACTGATACTGTGAGCTCAAAAACCTAAAAAAAGAAAACGAAAAGAAAACAATGTTTCAAAGAACATAACAGCATTGAATCTGCCAATATTTTTTACTATTTAAGTGAATATCGGATAATAAAGCATATTAGTATTAGGCAACGATCGATTCGTTAAGGACATTTTAAACGGATGAGATAAATGTTTCCGTGATCATTTCATTTCTCATAGCATAATCTATAGAGTAAGATTAGTAAGAATATACTTCGAGATTCATAACTGATTCATAGAAGTTAACAAGTGTTCACAAAATGTTTGTGTATGATTATCGAATCAAATTAAGTTACGAGTAAATAACAGTGATGATACACACCTTGTAATTTGTGAATGCATTGACACCTTGTTTACATTCCATGATACATTAGCGAATTAGACTATTAGAGAGACGTTTTAGTTATATGAATAATCTTCTACTTGGATTATAACAAGAGATTTTTCCAGACGTAAGTTTGTATAACTTCCTCAGCATCCGTACCATTAATGTTAAGTATCTTACTTAAGAGATGGTGTGAGGTTGAACATCGTGCATCGTCTGTATAAAAATCATAATCAGGCTTTGGAAATACGGAGCTGTTTTCCGGAGAACATTAGACGTATTACTTTGCACTCTATGGCTACGTATTGTACAACCTCGTGAACGTAATCTCTACATTTTTTCACAACAATGTTTCAAGTAGCGCTATCATTATTGTGTACCCTTTCTAATCGTATAATATATATTATATAATTGTGTTACGTTTTTACCGTCAGCTTTAGCAGAAGTCATTTTCTCTTATTAAATGTGATGTTATGATGTTAATTGACGAAGTTTTATGTATATAAATATGTTTGATATGGTCCAGCTAACGTCGAGCGTCTTATGTGTTCCATATATCCACATTAATACGTTATAAAGATAAAATACAAGATGATAATAACGAATTATATATATACGAAAAGTTTCTCGAGGACTAATAGAAAATATTATTTCAATGGCGTTTTGATAAAAAGAAAAATACACAGGGCAAGGGAAAGAGTCGCTCCAAGAAGATAATATAAATTTCAGAAAGAAAATAAATTCTAAATTTTTTTTATATACACACGCTGAAGGTATATCCTACATGATATTAGTTTATTAAATATAAATATAGTTTATTAAGTAAATAAATTATTTCACATCTCAACATATTGAAATAAGTCAGAGAGGTAATTCAAGATTATCGACTATTTTGCTTCACTAATATCCAAAGCCTGAACATAGTAAAAATTTTACAGCATTATAAAAAAATCTATATGGTTAGTTTGTAGGGATAATTACTGTAATTTTATTACACGGCGAATTACATCCACGAGTAGCAATTTAATAAATTCCGCGTGTTTGGAGCTAAGAGATAAAATAATGAAAAGGCCAATAAATGATTATAAATCTCGAACTCTAAAATACGTAGTTTGTAAACTCAGTTCGGTAAACAAATAGATTTGTTATGATATTATGTTGCACTGTCTTGCAGAAGAGAAGACATTCGTAAATATTTAGATGTATTGTTTGCTACGATGTTTAGGCAATTTGATATTATCAATGTTATTCTAAAATTTTTGTTGCTTTCGAGAGATGGAGATTTTTACTCAAGATAAAAAGCATACAGTAGCATTTCATCCCTTTTATTTACATATACATACATATATATATATATATGTATGTGTGTGTATATATATATATATGTATATATATACATATATATACGTACATATACGCATCTTTTCGATTAGAAGAAAGAATATCCAGGTGTGATTTGCCATTTAGAAAATTAATGACATTTGATAATTACGACATCTTATCAGGGGCCATACAAAAAAATTTAAGTCTCATTAAAGCGCTTCGGAATGTAAGAAATAATATTACACGTGAATCGACGCTGTCAGCTTATACATGGATCGACGCTATCAGCCAGAGAATTCCTAATGCACCATGATCGTGAATAGAATATTTCCGAGAATGAAATATCTGCCTTAGAAGAAAGGAAGATTTAGCGCAATAAAGGAGAAAATCAATACTGTCTGTTAATTTACATATTTATTCCTATTGTTTGAATAGTCTATATAGTATGTTACACTCTTAATTATATATATGGCCCTCGAATGTTATATTATATAAAGCTATTTACATATACTTATTCAAATAAATTATAATTAACACTTTAGGAATCTTCCTTAAATCAACGAACAATCTGTGTTCTTCGGGATAGGAAGAGTGGATTGTTCACAAAAAATCTCGGGCATTAAGATAATTTCAATTAGGAGCATTTACTGGTGCAACAGGAGCTTTTTGGTTCTATGGTGTATATATGGAATATAAATATATAATAAATGCAATATATAAATAGCAATTTTTACGAAATCGGAAATCGACGAAGCTAGAAAGTATATATGTACTTGTATATTACTATCATTTGTATAATAAAAATTTCTTAAAATTGTGCATGCTGTGGTATATATACATATGTACCATGTAATGAACATGTAGCAATTTCTTATGATAATAATTCATGGGCATAGAAGCATTAAAAATACTTTACAGTTTACTTTCTTTATTAGTTTATTTTAGTATATATATTATTTCTAATTTTTTACATGAGACTGAATTAATAGTAAAATAAAATAAATAATATTGTTAAAATTGATTATTGGAGAGTCATGGTTTTACTATTTCGACAATCATTATAATTAGGTTTGTGTAAAAGAAGATATTAATCACATCATATTTTTCATATTTTCCACTTTAGCTTTCGAAATACACTTGTTATTAAATCGAAGTTTAGTAGTATATAATCTCAAGAAAAAGAAAAAACATCACATATTTCATGTGATCTACATTTTTACAAAAAATAAAGTTATATAAAATAAAATTCTTAAAGTAGATAAATATTAAAATATTGTATTTTTTAATGACAATATCATATTTCAAAAAAATTTTTTTCTCAAATTGTCGCAATGCATACACAGATCATACATATACATATAACTTTCATTGTCAAATCAGTGGCAACATTTCGAGTTCTTAGTTTCCACGGTGTCGCGTGTTAATACTGCAGTTCAATTGTAAATTCCAAGATTCATAATATGAGATTCATACAACCGACAATATTCGAGAGAAATATCTTGACATATTAAAAATAAACTAAAGTTCCATCGTACTAATTCGCGTGTGAACTAACTGTATAGATTTTCTAAAATATAATGTATATGTTAAAACATATGTAATATATACATTAGAGCTACAGTTAGTACATTGTAAAAGCGTTCTTAGAGTTACGAGATTCATATACAGAATACTTCATAAATATATTGAAATGTGACTTGCTTGGTTCGTGATTGTGATTCTCTTGGAGATTAAATTCCATAAAATAGTTTAAACACGAATATATCTGATCAGTTTTGTAACGTGTACTTAAAAATTATTCTATATACTGTACAATTAACAACAAGATTATCGTACCCCTGATTTTGATAAACATTTCAAGTACTTCCTATTTCGATATAATCTTGTATGGATTTATAATAAATGGTTGGATGCTATCTATTGGGCCGCTGTTCTTCCACAAGTGCTATCAATCGTTGCCGTGTTTTCTTATTATTTTGACACGTCGCCGAAATCAGACCGACTAAATGTTTAACTGAATATTCCTGCAAGTCATAATGTTACATTTTATATACTAGTATTGGCGGTAAAGAATAAAAAATGTCTATATATGTGTGTGTGTGTGTGCGCGCGCACGCGCGCGCGTGTGTAATACTATGAATATCATAGATACCTTGTGCTCCTTAATCCATTCTTCAAAGCTATTTTCAGGAAGATAATAGGCTTTGATGTACAATTCAACATATTCCCTATGTGGCATAGGTCTCAACGACGTTACTTTCTCGAATTTTGACTTTAACTGCGTAAAATCGAGTTGCATTAAAGCTCTACCACCATTGGAACATTTTTTAGCATTGGAAAACCTAGAGTGACAAAATTATATTTCTGTTAATTGAATGTAGTTCATTTAAAATATTAAGTACTTTCAGAAAGGTATAATCATAAATTTTCTATACCCTTCCACTAAAGTATGTGTAATCAAGTGAGCCACATTTTCCCATACTGCATTGCATATATTCGTATTTAAAGGTATGTACGTTCCAATAGTGTTAAGTCTCTCATTCAAAGTGCACACTTCCTATGAAAAAATATCAAATTATAGTTCAATGTCATGACTGTCAAAATTTTGTTTAACAAATATAGTTTAACAAATTTTATTTAACACATACTTGGATTAGTGCATCGATGTAATTACTGTGTTGAGACATGACGTCCGTCACTTCCCAATTGACTTTGTTCATTAAATTCAAAATATTTGCAACGTCAAACGTTTGCGATGTTACCGCCATATAGACTGGTTTTCTTAAGTCTGCGGCAGACGCTATCGTCTGCATATAAAATTGATGTAAAAATCCTCTCTGAGGACTGTTGGCAATAAGATGTTCTAAATAAGGTTTTAAACCTTCGTATTGTTGTCCTAGAAATATCAGAGACTCAACAGCTACAATACGTTCCGTTAGTCCATAAAGTTTCTCGGGCTGTGACAAGTTCACAATGGATGAAAGCTGTGGTTGTCTTACTTTATCATAATTTGCATTGCCATTTTCTTCCATTGTATCGTTCTCAGAGATAATCAATGTTTCTCTAATTCGAGCTAAAGATAATTTTAATTTCGGACTGTACAACGAGTCACTATTGATTTGCTGCAAGAATGAAAACCGTATTCTAAATTGAATTCCGGTCACGCGAACGTAATTAAGAATCGTAATGTAAACTTACGAGATCCGACGTAAAGAATAAGTGTACTGTGTAGAAGCATAACTCGAAAAATTGTATCATGCTCTGTATGACAGTAACCGCGATTGATCGTAAAAGCTTCGACATCTGTAGATACTTGCCGCACACTCTCAGTATGCTTAACGTCGTATTTGTAACCATAGGTCCAGATTGTTTGAGTTTGCACTTCTTTTTAACTTTTGTGTGATCCGGTTCGTCGACATATTCATGCTTTAATTCATCGGGAATGTCCTCGTCGGACTCGTCCGAAAAATACGCAGGTTGCTCAATCTAAATAAGAAAATGTAGTAAAAGACCAATATAATATAGATTTATTATTTTGAGAAAAATTAAATGTAATCGTTTAAATATATATTGATTTAATGATTTTCCTACATCATCGTTCATTAAAATATCTTCATCCATAGTATCATCCAATCCTATTGTAAATGGTGACAAACCACCTTCCAGATATTTCTGCAAATCGACTCCCGTAGAATTATCACTGTCGCTTAAGGTTGAGCTATCTAGGCTATTCCACGTTTTACAATTATTGAGCGAAGGTTTCAGACTTCGAAACTCCAATAATTGGGTAGCCATGAAATTAGATTTCACAGGACACAATTCCCAACCGTCATTTTCCAGAAACATTTTCAATTCATCCAAACGAGATGCGTGATAATGAGAAAAGTAAGAGAGGGACTGTTTTTTAATGGACTCCTGCAAGTTCTCAGACTTGAAACCACAGAGGTCTTCCCCAATTTCCATCAACCTATAATTAAATAATTAAATTAAGATAGTTTAACAGATGGTTCATTTATTTAGCATCGACTGATAATTATTGTTACATATTATATACTTACCTGTTAACTATACCCAATACCTGAACAAATTGTTCAAACTTTGTATTTGTCAAATCCGTGTTCATCAAATATATCGATATTTTCATTTCCACATCGTGCCATACTCGGACCATACCGTTCTCTAATTTGTGTTTGACGTATTGCTTGCTTAAAGTCGCTTCTAAATCCTTAATATCGGATTTACACTCGACTTTATCCTCTTGCACGTTATGCCAATTTACAATTAAATGATACGAATTCAGTATTGTCCACAATGATTTGCACAGTTCCGTGAGACAAGCAATACATGCCTCGCGAGGCACAGCCTGACACAGTTGTTTATATTGTCTTTTCACATCACCTCCCGCATAGCGATGGATAACGGCAAACGCCGTGTTATGAATGGCAGCAGTGAAATGCATATGCAATTGATCCATTGCGGATTGAGTCTTTCCTAACAATGTATATGCTTCCTGAATGGAAGAATACACTGCGACATCGAATTCAGTGCACATTTTAGAGAGAGTATTGTCCAAAGTTCTTTCCGCTTGATCTAAAATATTTTGCAAATTCGTGTTCAGTTCAGCAATACAATAGAAATGCTTGTAAGTCTGAGCGGCACTCTGGCATTCCAAAAGAAGCGATATGGCTCCAGGATAATTCCCTTCATTTAGAAGCTCTTGCAGACGATCTCCTGTACATTGCTACATAATAATTAGGTTTAAAATGTATAAAAGACCTTTAATTCGTTTAATGTGACATGAAATTAAGATTTAGCTTTTTGTAAGGAATACTCAAACACACACACACACACACAATATCGAGTCTAAAATTGGAGCACGAGATGTCTGAAAGATATCTAAGGTCCCAATTTTAGACTTTTAAAGACATTTTATGTCTCAATTTTGGATTTTGTGTTGTCTGAGATTACCTTTTTAAAGACAAACATAAAATATAAATTGACTTACCAGAGTCTTTATGGTATTTAAACTATTTAACAATTCTTGAATTACTTGTCGTCTCTGATAGTTAGCTAATATGCCTAAACTCGCTTTGGTAAATTGTTTCTCAGCTAATTGCAGATCTGCCCTTCCAATCTTACATATTTCTAAAACAGCCTCCAATTGGTCCTGCAGCAGCAAAATCTTGTCAAATTCCGCTTTACAAGCACTCTGCTTTTGCAAAATAAGTTGCAACACTTTCTTGGAGACAACTTGATGTTGCTGCTTGAGTTTCTTATAACATTTCTCAATTTCCTTAGGCTGCAATATCGTTGGCAGTTTGTTTAGTTCATAGCGTGATGAATCAAAACTGCCATCAGTATTGAAGTAAACATCTTCGATAGAGTCTAATACATCCTGATCAGGTATAGGCTCACTCTCTGTTGATTGATCCGCCTCGGAGCAGAGATCTTCACATTTTTGCAAATCAGGTGGATTAAGCAGATCTGGATTCAAGCCCATAAGTGGCACTTTGGTCGCATTCTATAAAAGATAAACAATTATAGATTTCATCTATTTTAATAATAATATAATCAATGTGTATGTGTATCCAATTTAAGGGTATTATTTTCTTTAATTTTAGCTAATGATCAGATAATACTAATAACAGAGTCGAGACTAAGTAGATATTTTTATAGCACAAATATGTGCTATTAAATTATATAGATGTACATATATATATATATATGAAAATTATAAGTAATTTAAATTTACATGTATGATTTAACACAAATATTAAATATAGATGAATTATAAAATGTATAGATATATTTAAATTAGACATACTGTGACATAAATATATCATACTGTGTGTTATAAGAGAGACAATATAATTAAATATTAAAGTGTTACATTCTTAAAACTACTATTTTATCACTGGTTTTCGTAAAAACTAATTACGAAGATAAGAAGTATAAAAAGTATCGCAATATCGTTTTGACAGCAAAACGTCAAATTCACATCGTGTACACATCACTTCCGAGTCGTCACATAACCTAATTCCTAACAACGCAACAAACGAAGTCGCGCTTATACTTGGCGTATTACGATATTTGCTTGGAGTATTCGTGAACGGGCTTGCCTGCTTATTAATGAGGCCAAAAAATTTAATCTTCAAATCCTCCATGATGTCGGATTGCATCGCGACCGTCAGGCCAGACGCATTCTCGTCTGTTTACACGACCGTCACGACCACAATCGGCTGAATCGGCTCACATCGGTTCACAGTTGGTGCGCCCCTGCGCTATCGTGACATCTCTAGAATCTCGGGAGAGGTCGATAATAAATCTCGACCGCGAATATCGATAACCTTTCGATTCTCATCTATAATCGCTAATTTTGATTCAAATCCGATGAGAGAAAAAAGAGAACCGATGACCCAATTTTATCCACGTATCTATATGTGTGAGTCCTGAATTATCCCTTTTTGAAGTACGGTTTATACAATAACAAACAGAGGAAAGAGAGGAAAATCCTGGCGAAAATAAACATTGGAGTGTACGTAAGTTGAATAAGAGAAAAGTAATACAAATGTGAACTTCTAGGAGCTAGATCTTCTAGGAGGAGGCGGAATATTTTATATATATGTATATATAAAATAAAATAACAGATTTTTTTCTGTTTAATTTAATAGAATAATTTTATATCAATAAATTTTAATCTTTCGACCCTAGAAATATATATATATCACTAGAATATTGATACTTAAATTTTACGAATTATTATGATAATATATCAAGAAAAATTGTATTGAAAAAATATCTATAATGGATTTCGCGTATTAGTACTGTAGAAGAAGAATCGTAAAGAGAGGAAGAGTGTGAAATAAAATAAAATGAAGGTACGCGTAGGATGCGCTAATCTACGTAATAACTTGGATAACCATCGAATAACCGCATTTCATCTTCCTGGGAAGGAATCTCATAAATAGAGACTTCTCCAAGTTCTATAAAATCGGCGTCGAGTTAAATTAAAAGCTATAAATTAAAAAAAATAATTTTTTTTCTTGTGTAGTTTCTTCAATTTTATAGCTAATAAGGGGAGGAAAATTTTCTAACAACAAATATAATAACATAGACATTAGACATTGTATTATTCGTTTATATTTTCATCAGTCGGACACAATATATATATCTGTTATTCTTTTTTTATCCAAGTTTCTTATCGACATTGATGTCAAACATATACTTCTTTTTATCGCGTACTATTCTATATGTACAAAGTTAAGAAGAGAAAAAAGAAGAAAAAGGAACATTTGACCAAAAAATGATAAATGAGGTTAAATTTATAGAATTTATAAGAATAAAATAACAGAGTTTTTTTTATTTTTAATAAACTTTTTCGATTGTAGAAATATATCACTGGAGTTCGACTATTGCAAAATTATTATTAACAGTTTCGTAATAATATACAATATTGAATATATAATATATTCTCGTGTTTAATGTAGTGCGTATCTTCATTTACTTAAAACATCACGCTGAATAATCTACGCAAATTCCGGGCGTTCATTCTTTGCGATTGAAAGTAATCGATATTGCGATGTTCTATTGCGGTAAACGGTATTATACTCGACATTATGTAATTATTTATCAATCTCGTTTGAAGATGTAGCCAAAGTATCGCGCGCCGTTTGAGAAGCTATTATTCACGACTCTCGAGATCGCGTCGAGTAATTACGGTGAGTCTCAACTAGATAACAGCGGATTCGCTATAAAATTACTAAACGTCGACATATTATCACGAGCGCTTAAAAGTATACGCTTGTAACTACAAGCGAAAGTTACCTATTGAGAAAGACAGGAGCGTAACGGCGAGCGTGATAAGAGGGAACACACTTGCGTTGAGAAGATGGAGATAAAGAAAGGAGGAAATATCAATATGCCGATTATGTGAAAATTTAATGCAACGGTAAGAGATATCAAGAGTGGAAAAAAAAAAGGGAAAATCTTAATAATTCCGACGCATCATAGTTGAATGCGTTATCAACCCGCCTCGTTTACGCCACTGGGCGACGAGGGGTTGATCGATGCGAGCGCAACGGCAAGCGTGGGTGTTCCAGGGTAGACCTGTGATCTCGCGCTTTTCGATTGGCCGTATCCAGCGTAACCCAACGGCCGATTGGTCGACCGGTCTCCCACGCGTCCTCTTCGTCCTTTCCCTTCCCCGTCTCCCTCCCCTTCCCCAAGTACCAACCTACCAACACGAGCCGGCTGCAGGTGAAATCGCGTGGCGCAGGTGTGTATACTGTGTTCGCAGTTTGCAGTTTGCACTTCGCAGGGTGGCTGTACAGCCTGTGCACCGTCACTTTGCGTCCAGCAAGGGATCTTTTTCTTACGGGCATAAGTGGGAGAAGGAGGTGGCAAGAGAGGGAGAGAGCAGAAAGATTCCGAGAAAGGGCGAACGAAGTGGGTGGTGAGAGAGAGAGAGAGAGAGAGCGACCTCGCCGCGCCGTTAACATTCGCTCGCACCCACGCATACAGAATTACAGACGCAGCGCAGCCGAAGCGGAGTGCTCAAGTGCTCTCGGGGCGAGGGACCTTGCGCGAGCCACCCCGAGGAGTTACTCCAACACCTTGGTGGCGCACCAGATACCAGCGAGCGAGCGAGCGAGCGAGAGGGTGACGGTACATTACCGGGTTCGTATCGCGTTCGCGAGGAGGAATCGAGCATTTTCTTCAGGGAGAATTAAGAGAAGCCCCCTCCCAGCAAAAAGTGAAAGAGAGCAGCAAAGAAGAAGATCTTTAGGAGCGCCTGTCTGTAACTTGTAAACGCATTCGCGAAGCAAGGATGGTACGGAGATTCTGCAACGGCGCGGTTGCACTTGGCATCGCCCTGACGGCCTGCGCCGCTTTTCCGCGCGCCGTCATGGCGATCGACCTCAGCCGCTTCTACGGTCATTTCAACACGAAACGTTCGGGTAAGTCGACAATGGAAACTCTCCACACGATCCAATTATAGGAAACGATGAAAATTCGTTAACGTATCTTCAAAAAAGCATCGTTTTGAATTGCCAACGAGACCACGAGTTTTAGGCGCGCAATCGTAAGACGATCGTATGGAAGAGAAATCGCGCAAATATAAAATCACGCAGATAGTTCTAGAAAAAAAATATTATTTTTAAGTTCTTTCCGAGAAAATCTAAAGAATTGCACGTATGTTTATTAAATGTCTATTATATAAGAATATTACAATTTTAACGAAACTTTTATCTCGAATGATTTTATAAATTTTGTGAAATATTCAAGTGAAACGTGTGGGTTTTTTGTATATTTGAAAAATATTATTTTTTCCATGTGTTTGTAAAATTCTTATCACAATAAAACATACATAGTATTTTTTCCTGCTCTCTGCATAAATTTTTATATAACATTTATTTAATCGATTTATTCGCTTTATAGAATTTATCTTCTGTTATTTTTTATTACAGTACACCGACAGTATATCTACGTATAAAGTTATTTAAAAGCGGTAATCAAATATTACTAAAATTTATCAAATATTCGTAATCGTTCATACTTATGGTGTTTTTCATTGGCAAAACTAGTGCGCACTCAATGCACATTAAAGCTATTGTACACTGTTCTGAAAAAATATAAAAGTGAGATATCTCAATTGATAAAATGCTCAAAATTTATCAAATAGCACAATAAAATGTATCGAATATTTCACGGTTTAATTCGTTTATATATTGTTATTAAACGTATATCTTTACGTCGATTTTGGTACAATGGCTTTAAAGTGCACTGAATTTTCGCTTGAACATCTCGAAATTTAAAATAAAAATTATATATCGGAATATTTTATTACAATATATTTTCACAATTTCCTACATTTTATATGCTTTCATATTTTTTTAACGAATACTAATAATTTGAATGTATATATAAAGTTGTAGCAATTTGATGACAGCTTTAATTGTTTATGATAAATTTAAACATGTATTTATATATTTTATGCAATATCAACGTTAAATGTTTCTGGAGAATATGTAAATAAGACACGTAGACATATGAAGGATAACTCGTGCATTACAATGTCTGTCCAAACCTAATTTTAACTACTGCAACCGTTGAAACAGCTCGAGAAACTAATTTACAGCTCACGTGAATATGAAATTTTCACTAGAGAAGCTTACTGCAGACATATATTAATTAAACATATTAGCTTTACATGCAATTTACGAACAAATTTGCATATATAATCCTTATCTCGCATATGTCGAAATACATATAAGTAATAAGCTGTTCCACTTCCATCGTCATCTAATTAATTCCTCGACTACTTGACGAGGTTGACTTTACAAGAATTTAGATAAATTATTCATTGTATCCAACTTCTTACAGCTTTATATACATATTTATTTATTCAAATTATTATGTAATCAAATCATAAGTGACGAACTTGTAAGTAAAATCCGCTTGAAATTAACTAAAGAATATGATTGTCGGTTCGAGAGAGATAAAAATTAAAAATTAAAAATTAAATAATTAAAAACTTTTTCTTTCACATGTAACGTTCGAGATATACGTAGGTACACGTGTAAACTTTAGCTTACAGGAAGTAAGCTAAAGTAAACGTTTATATATGAGCTCACGCGGGACATTTATAAGGGTATGAAATGGGGAAAAAGCTTTCAAGAGATACTATATCGCCGTTTATACGTTATCATGTTTCTCCCGATAAACATTCATTAAAATTAACAGGTCCGGAGAATTACGACGGAGATGTTTCGTTGAAACTCGGCCATATGGCCGAGCGGATACTCTGGTTAGTTACGTGTACGTGTACATTCGCTCGGTCAATAACGCGCATACATAACGCGTACCGAGTCACATATAGCCGATGACATTTAGAAACACGCGTTTTTACTCAGTTCGCGTCTATTCGCGTTCAGAGCCGGGATACCGCGAAGCGGGTTTCATGCGGTCGTTGCATCCCCTATCTTACCTGCGCTCCCGTTTCTTGTAATTATTTATTGCGTAAATCTAATTTTTCGAAACAAAAGTAATGATATTGCAAAGTTACACCAACTAAAACACTTTAAATGCACTTTATTCTCTATCTCTTACCTGATACATTTTGGTATTAAAACTATCGTATTTAATGTTCGTTGTCTCACCCAAGTTTCTCTCGTATAATTGTCTATAGCATAAATTAATTTTTTCTAATAAAAAGTAATGATATTGCAAAGTTGCGCCAACTAAAAAAAAATTAGACCCATTTTATAATTCCATCTTTCACTGTGCTTCGATACTAAAAATATTATATCCAATATCCCCTGTCTCACCCGAACTCCCTTGTTTCTCATAATTACCTATTGCATAAATCTATTTTTTCTAAAAAGAATAATGAGATTGCAAAGTTACGTCAACTAAAAACATTTAGACCCACTTTATAATTCTTCCATCTCTTTCACCGTGCTTTGATACTAAAAATATTATATCCAATATCCCTCGTCTCAACCAAGCTCCCTGTTTCTCATAATTATCTATTGCATAAATCTATTTTTTTCTAAAAGAAAAAAATAGTATAACTTCTGTCTCTCTCACGATGGTTTGATATAAAAATTATTATATCCAGTATTCTCCGTGTCTTATCTGATTCTTTAGTTTCTAATTTAATTTTTTTTTTTTTTTTTTTCTGTCAATCCTTTCGATTACCTCTTATGCAGAATTTTTACCATTTTATGTCATCTTAATATGCGTTTCCAGAGTAACGTCGAGAAATAACAAGTCGTTTTTTTCCTGCGGATTCCAACCAAAATAAGAAATGAGTAAGAGGTCAAATGAGAGATACAGTCGATAGAACATGCCCTCGAACATTTAATGAAACAAAAGTTGCTTTTAGAAATGAAACGTTAGTTGATAAGTTTCTATCTATTTTTCATTTTTCGGTCGTCAGCGAGATGATGAGAGTTTGTAGAAAGTTCCTTTTCGAGTGGATTTAAACTCGCTTTTAAATAGTTTGTAACTCGTATTCCATATATGGAGAGAACTCCTATGCGCGAATGAAGTTTCAAAAAGCTGATACTGTGAAAACTCTCCGTAGCGTGCGTAGATAGAATTATAGTTACCGATCGAAATACTTGTATTTAACATTCATTAAACCTGTCTAGGTATCTCCCATCTGTAAAGAGGCGCGTAATCTTATTTTATAATTTTAATATTCCCTCCATGAACGTATTTCATTTGGAATGCATCGAGGTCGCGGTCCCGCGAGGATAGCGGCCACTCTCCGGGGAATTATCGCTCGACGTCGATCGGTAAAATATTTGTAACGTCTCTGATGAGAAACGCCCACGAATGCGTGGGAGTCTTATCTAAATGTAGGAAAAATTGCGATGCTCACGCTCGTACAGCAATTTAATAATATCCCATGATCGGTTTAAGCTCAATGCAATCCTTGATATGAAACAGATGACGCGATCTGGATATGACCCCGGTAGATTTCTCCTTGATGAAATGTTTGCCTGAAACCAACGTAAAAACGCCCCCTGTCTAAACACTATACGGATGAAAAAGAGAACTCTGTGACGTATATGTGCGTAATAATTTAATAACGCTGATGGCTCTGTGACGCACCGGTGCGCGATACGTAGTTATCGAAAATTCTTAACATGATATCAAAATTCACTCTCACAGGATGCTTTATGGACACGGTGTTCTGTGTTCTGTGTTTGCGGTGGGAAATTAAGTTTACGTGCGAAATGAACGTGGGCGATCGTATAACGAATGTGGCACAATATTACACAATCGATCGCCAAGAACAACCGTTGCACAATATATTTTCTGTTTCGCGGCTGTCACGAGGATTGTTTTTCACTGGATAAAAATTTTCATTCGATTTAAACATACACGTCGTCGAATACATGCATGAGCGTTAAATTACTCATGTTTTTCTCGTTTTAGCGGGGCGTACGAATAAAAATCTTGCGTATAAAATATTACAAAACATTTCCACCAAGAGACCGAAATAAAGATACGGAAATACAGCTTTTCGCGTAAAACTTTTCTATATATTAAGCAGGACGTGTCTGATCTCCTGGGAATCGGAATTTCTTAGACAGATGGTCTAAGGGATCTGGGAAAATTGCTTTTTTTCAAGAGACTCAATATAGAAAATTTTTTCTCTTCTTTTTCATAGAGTCAGCATGTAAAAATGTTGACTTTCGAACGACTTTGATGAAATCTGACAATATTTACTGTCTTGTGTAGAAAGACTTGTGTAGGGAGACTTAATTGCGAGGAAAACTTTGCGACGAAGGGAGAAGGATTTTACGAGCTTTAAGGAGCAAACAATCAATACGCTTTACGATTGTTCCTGCAGTTCTATCAGATTAAGCGTTTTGATTAATTGATTTTTCAGGATCGTTAACTATGCGCGCCTGCTATTGTGGCGTGAACAATACGATCGCGTGTTTGCTCAATTATTCCGAAAGCCTCTCGCACGAAGCGTGCGCTGTCGCATTACCCACGTCGTGTTTATTAATTCCGTTTCGGATCCTTCACTTTAATACGTTATCGTTGTAATTTAATCATCCGGTGACTCGCGACCGTCCCACCGACGAACGTAATTGACTTTTTCGAACTTTCATTTTCGCAGAATAAGATTGAGTGCTTGTACATATATACGTATATATATATATACGCACACATATCTGATTATTTGGTAAACAGCATACGTCACGAGCTTATTTTTTCAATTTCCTTTTCTTAGATTACTCTCCTCTGATTATTTTTCTCATTATTAAATAAAAATCGAGAAAAGTTTAATTGAAATAAGCGAAGAAGCCTAGACTATATTCGGATCTCGGTGCTTAATAATATTTTTGTGCGAATTTTACAATTTCCTAATTTCTTACTTTTCCCAAATTATTTTTCTCGCTCGTTCAAAATTTATTATGTGCTTTTCAGAGGCTTGCCATCCGTACGAACCGTTTAAGTGTCCAGGCGACGGTATCTGCATCTCGATACAGTATCTCTGCGACGGAGCACCCGACTGTCAGGATGGATACGACGAGGACTCAAGATTGTGTACCGCAGGTGAGCTTTTAATTTTGAATTAATTAATTAATTAGATCTAATCGGCAGTGCGACTCACTTAGCATTATTAATTACGTATCTTGTTCTAACTATGGTAAACAAACTGATTCGCAGTAAAACGTATGATCTCATTTTTAATATATTTAACACTTTTAATATGACTTATATCTCTTTTTACGTAGGTTTATCTAGTGATTTGGCGTTAGTAGATTTTATTTTATAAATATCTACTGAGGTGAATTTTACATTATGTATGTACATATGCTATATGAGAGAGCGCAGGGTGGATACACTCAACGATGTTTCGTGCAATTGCACCAGACAGCTGTAATAAGGGAGATTGCTGTTGCACTCGTTTGATGCAAAACGTCATCTTTTATTTCACTTTCTACTCATAATAAGTACTGATTAACCAACGTTTTGTATGTACCCATGTTTATTTTTTTTTTTTTGGAGATTTGAAGGAAATTCCAATTTATTTAAATAATGTTTACGAGCACGTGTTATTGATCCCCGACGTAGTCGATTATTATGCATTTTGTATTTATTTCGTTTTATTTTATTACAGCGATGTAGTAATTTTTATGGAATTTTGCTTTTTTGCCTTTACAGCCAAACGACCGCCCGTAGAGGAAACTGCGAGTTTTCTGCAGTCTCTGCTAGCCAGCCACGGTCCCAATTACCTAGAGAAGTTGTTCGGAACCAAAGCACGTGATACGCTAAAACCTCTCGGTGGTGTGGAGAAAGTGGCCATCGCGCTGTCGGGTAAGTTTCTTAAAATTATATACGACACTTTGCGCTACTGAACGCGACACCAAATAGAACATGATCGAATAGAACTGTTCGACTTCTCCGATATCTCACTGTGAAATCTTTTCCACGTATATCGGAAATCTATTAAAAGCAGCAATATCGCCGCGTTATACAGAACGAAATTGCAAGTATTTTAATCCAACTTCATATAAAAAAAGTCGGTCGAACAAATATTTATCTTGTTTAATTAACGCGGTGATGTACAAGGACTTTAAATTTAGAAAAAGATTTTTTTGCGTCGTTGCTATTCTATCCTTGAATGAGCCGATCCCGCGACTTGGCCCCTGACTATCTGTTTCGGCCGTCAGAATCGCAAACGATCGAGGACTTTGGCGCAGCGCTACACCTGATGCGCTCGGATCTCGAGCATCTGCGTTCAGTTTTCATGGCGGTGGAGAACGGCGACCTGGGCATGCTGAAATCTATCGGTATCAAGGACTCCGAACTGGGCGACGTCAAGTTCTTCCTCGAGAAACTCGTTAAAACGGGCTTCCTTGATTGAACGGTCACACTCGCCGCCGAACCGTCGTCGTCGTCGCCGCCGTCGCCGCCGCCGCCGTCGCATCGCCGCCGGTGTCGCGTCACCGTCGTCGCATCAGCAGACCCTTCGTTTGATAAAGCCTAAATCATCCTTTCCGCGAGCACTTCTATCTTTCCTTCGTCGCGAGTTCTTACGCGCAGGATGTAGCCTGTCATTTTTCTTTCCTTTCTTATCCTTTTCGAATCTTTTGCTCTCGCTTCAACGCGCCGAGCGCGATCACGAGCACCGAGATGATCATCGAGACCCGTGTATGAGGGAGCGAATTTCGAATCTTCTGCATGAAACGAACAATCAAACGGATTTCCATTTCATGTATCTCTCGTACCTCTATCACGTTTGGATAATTTCATTACACGCGTCAAGCGTACCGTTGATCCACTTGGAGTAAGTGCAATAATCGTGAACGTGAGAGAGAGATTGATATAATTAATGTACTCGGAAAATTTAATTATGCATCGATTTGGATTTGAACCATCATCATTAAGAAAAACATAATTAAATGACTGAAAAGCGTATTAAGGTTCTCTGAACGATTTGCGATCTAATATTATCTTTTAACTTTTCAAACTATAATATCTTATATAATATTTTACTATTTTACTTCCTCTAAAGTTTCGCAATTATTGATCCTAAATAACACAATCAGATTTTCATGAATATGATTAAATTTATGAAGATTTCTGAAAAAATATCTTAAATTTTTTCATATTTTATAAGTTTTCTTAAAAAATTATAAAATGAAGACTCTTTTAGAATATTTAAGAAGTTTCATATACATGAAGAATTCTAGAAAAAATGTAAACTTTCTCGGTATTTGTGAAAAGTTTTTCAATTCATATAACAAATCTGATAAATTTTCTAAAGTATCTATATGCGTCGAGGCGCATCCTCTCCTCGCATGAACAAGTAATGAGCTTTTGTCCGACCTATTTCTAAAATATTGAGCTTCCTCTTGTAGCTACTTTGCTGAACCTTTTGTTAGGGTTCTTTCACTCTATGCACGTGTATGCTGTTGTGCGTGTCTTGGCTTTCTTCGATGTGCCGTATCTTTAAATATGCGAGCACGTACACGGTACTGTGTCTTGCATAAGTGATGAAACATTAATGACAATCGTTCACGGTCGGTAGTGATATAACAGTCCGAGTTGTGCATCAAAAACTTCAACTATTTTCGTGGGGGGGAAATTTATTATGATTATATCTACACGAAAAAAAGAATTAAAATATTTGAGATTGTGATTCAAGTGTTATGAGATTGTAATTGAGATAAAATATCTACTTATAACAAATTAAAATTTTTAAACCTAAGTAAGATCTCTTCCGAAAGAGTCTCAATAACATTGCTAAGATCTTAGAGAGTTGAAACTTCAAACTTCGTGGGAGGAAATTCTCAGAAAGTAATTACGCTCAAGCACGTGGCAAGGGATGAGTTTTAATCAAAATTACGTTACTTCGTGGAAAGGTCGAGCGGAAGAAGCCGATAATGTAATTCTTATTAAACACAATGCCGTAAAATTGGCTCTACCAGAAGCAACTTATCTCTCACGGATGCACAACTATTGGACCACGTGCTTCGATAGTTGATAGAGTCGGAGGTGGGAATCTACAATGCTCTTAATTATTTCTGCGTAAAAGAACTACGCATGTAATGATTATTCTCAATTATTTCCCCAGGATATCCTTTTAAGCGTATAATGTCCGACGATGCTGCGTAGTTTCTGTTGCAATTGCGGAGTAATTTTATATATTGGTGACAGGGAGAGAGATGATAGCTTTTATTCGGATTTTACTGCTGGTACAGTATATTGATTTATTTAAATATTTTTAATCGATCGTTCTTTTACGTATGTTTTGTTTTTTCATAATTTTAGCTTCGTCACCATGATCACTTCTTTTTGCGTAAATGTTTCGCGACGCGACACCGCGACAAACGAAAAATAAAAAGGAAAAAGAAAAATGAAATTTCTTGCCGAGAAAATATTTGGTATTTAAGTATTCGATATTTCCACCGCATCCATGTACCAAATTGTAATTTTTGTTTTAATTAAGATGGCATTGATGGATGCGGATGTAAGATGAAGCAGTCTTGTTTAACGTTACAAAAATATGCGGTGGAAATACCGCCTTTCGTGTTAAAAGGAACAGGTGATTTCTCTCGGTACGCTCGTGAACGTCATGCAATCGTAATATACAATGCGATGATGATGCACGCGTTTTTAAAAGAAAGGGTACAAAAAAATAATAAAAAGAAAAAGATGAGGAAACGGAGCATCGCGTCGCGTTTTTTCAGGGTATGACGCGCGTTTTACTTATTAGAAAAAGAAAGCAAGATATAAGATATATATAACGCTAGCGTATGATATTTTCATTACGGCAACACTGAGGTATATAGCGTTTCCCGTCGCGCTTTCCTTTTACTTTGAAGAAAGAAAATTAACGCATTAAAAATTTCTATATATACACACTCTTATATACACATATGCACATAACATAATATATATGTATATAAATTGTGCTATTCGCGACAATCGAGAAATCGCGGACGGGTGCGAGTCTGGTTCTTTTTTTACCTCGAGAGAATTAATAATGCATCCCTTCTGGGATAAAAGTAACGACGTATCTATTTACTAAGCGTATCTTTTAAATGAAAACGATACATTGAGACATATCTTCTAATTAATTTAACGTAAGCGAGTTTAGAGATATATAAATATTATACATATATACATAGCGAATACATATCAACAGAGAAATCACTCTTTTATCAGATGGTAGATAATATTTTGGTATATAAAGAAGAAAAAAATGTTTAATATTCCCTCCAGATGTCAATTACGGTCCAAAGTAGGGCCTGGACCGAGGGCAAAATCCGAGGGAACTTGTGTGTTTTAGTGAACAACGGGGCATATCAGACCCGGGGGTCATGGCGCGCCGCGAACATCCCTTTCTCTCTCTCTCTCTCTCTCGCTCTTTCTATCTATCTCCGCCTTTCCGCTGCGTGCCTTGACTCTTTGGCCCCAATTTCGAGTCGTAAGTCATAAGGTCAAATCTATTTCCCCCGAATGCGGCAGATCGGAGTTTCACCGATATCTGATATATACATATATATGCCACGTATCGAAGGCGCGTTACTCATTATCTTGGAATGATAAGAGATTATATTTTCCTCCCCCCCTCCCTCTCTCTCTCTCTCCCTTCTTCCCCGTTTGTATGTTTCCTTATTATAATTTACACATTTTGCAGATATTTAGCCACGAAGTATGGGCGAAGATGGTTTGTGTATCAATTTGATATTCTCTCACTGTTTTATTGTATCTGATCAATGTTCAAGCAAGTAATATCGATATTTTTCTTGGTTGAATTAAATTAGCGATATTTTTATTTAAAAAATACATTAAATTATATTTCATAATTTATTACATTTTATGACGACACATTAAATTTCATAACTATTTTAAAACGCATTTACTCTTATTTCTATACTAGACTTTTACAAATCTGTCATCTTGATTACAATCATGATTTAAAATTTAAACAACGACGCAGCTGCATGGTTTCGGAAAAATTGTCGATCCGTCCACAGTTTCGGTAACGAATGGTCGCTCAGTGTCCTATCAGTGCCCTTTGACATTATTATGACAAAAGGTAACAGAGGAACTCAGCGCTGAATGTAAATGATCAGGCTGAAAACGACGTATCGCATAAGGGAGATTACATCACGTCATAATTTTTGTGTATGGAAATTAATCGGTTTCAAAATTGCGTAATGTGACAAAACAGAATTATAATAACAATTTAATATTAAATTTAATATTAAACAATAGCTTAATTAAACGATGAAACGGTAATGTTTTCACACGCCTCTTTTAACTGCCAAATTCAGCAGCAAATCCATTTCGCGTTATATTCAAGTTCAATTTCCAGTTCAACAAGCCCTTTGTACCCCGCGAAATTATCGAAAGAGGAAAAATATGCAATAATTGAGTTAACAGAATGTACGTATGATGTTTTATAGGAGTTTTTTTTTTTGCATAAATTTAAATCTACGCAAGTGAATGCTGATGTGACAGCTCTTATGCGCGCGATAGCATGGTTATTAATTGACTAACGAAGATACGCGGTGCTTTTTACTTTCTTTCTAAATACACGTTTACGTATACGCGTTGTTTCGTTGCTCTCGTTGCGTTATATTGTTGTTGTAATATGCGTATGTATACATTGCTAAGTAAACGTTAAGTTAATCAATAAATCGAAGTGATTATATACGAGAGACGTATGTAATCTTCAACCTTGTCATTTCAAACTGATGGTACGCACGCATATGTATGCATATACACGATCTATATGTAGAAAAAGAAAAAAAGAAGATATTGACCACTTTAATTATCAGAGATTTCAACGATGTGATAATGTATTAAAATATCACGTACCGTCGTATTATCTGTATATGTTACCTTTCGACTTCTGATTGTTCTACTGCCAAAGTCTCTTATTGTACGTCAAATTACACGGCAACTTGCGACATTCTGCTGTAAGTAACCATCCGCTTCTTAAGATTTTGTACTCCTTCTCTATTCGATTGAACGCCAGGCGCACTTGGGAATGATTTTGTCGCAATAATTATAATTGTTAAATAAAGTGCGAACGCTTCCTTTCAATTTTAATTGCTAATGCCTCCAATTATGCGTCATGCGACATGATTTCACCCGTTAATCGTGCATGCGAGCGTGAACGTATACGTTGTAATTGCTCGATGAACAATACGATTAGTTACGAATCTGTAGGCCTTGCCTGCATAATCACAATTTCAGAAGATTACTTTTTACTGTGTCTCACCCTTTGCATTTGTTTGTGCTATTTTACTGGCGACGTGATGCGATATTCTGATCTACAACGTACGGCTTTTCATTCGACAGAAATACTATGTCCGTTAGGAACAAGAATTGAATGAATCTCGCTACTTCGGATTGCGTGCTAGAAAAATATTGAACGTCGTGATATTACTTCAAACAGCTTGTTTTTTGGATCGTTTAAACAATAAAATATTACGGAAAGACTTCTGAAAAGAGTTATTTATTTATTTTCATATAATCCATATTTATGCTACTACATCAATGTCACAGAAGGTATCGTTTGAATATATATAATATCTTTCTTTTTTATGTACAAGTAGAAGTTGATAATGAAATGAATTTTTCGTCAGTCGGTTTCACCAGTTCGTATTTTTCGGTGACTCCGCCAAGATTGTTCAATTCTCTGACCAAACTCCATATATTGACTTTACTTGAGACTATCAGTTTTCGTTGATCCTTGCCTTGGCTACGTGATTTAAGACCCATT